CACCAATCAGTGCGCCAGGGCAGGAGCGCAAAGCGATGTAGAGAAGTTGGGGAAGCAAGATCGGGCAATGACCAAAAGGCCTGATTTTTGGTGATAGATGCGGAATGTGTGGGCAACCTGATTCGGGAGGATTGCTGTCGGGTGGGTTGACTTCTGGACAGTTTACATTTCAAAAGAAGTGAATCTGTGTGCGTTAGTGAAGGTATCCAGGTGTACAATGTTCAGAGGATGCGTTGGTCGCTGGTGGATTTTTTGGGGTGCAAACTTTCGGTTGAGGGGTGAAAGACAGACTGGCGCTTCTTGCGGTGTGTGTTTGCGGGGGCCGCTAAGGATGCGACCCTCCGTCGTCCAAAGCCATGCTTTGTGCGTTTGTTCTGTTGCATGTAACGGTGCGCTCTTCAGATGGGAAGGCAGGATTGGTCTCTGATTCTGGAAACCTAGCGTACGCAATACTCGCCAATCGTCACAGTGATTTTTCCGCGCCAATCGTCACAGTGATTTTTCCGCGCATGGACATCACACATGCACGTAAATAATTTGGGAACATAAGATGCCCATATCATAACGAGGGATGGTCTTTGGATTCCAAGCCTATTGCTCTTGATTCTTAGAAAAAGATTGTCTAGAGGAATCGAACTTGCTTGCTGTAGAAGATCCATTGATAACAATGCATCATCAAGTGAATGCACAGTCTGCGAAGGGACTCGGTGGTAACACAAATTCTGGCCACGCCTGGATGGTGCCATTCTCGTTGTGGAATCCGCGAAGCAGAATATGGCGGATTGTGGATGTCCGGCTACCTTACAAATTTACTCATGTGCTATTTTCAGTGGAATCTAGAATGAAAAGCTGCAATATTTTCAGGGAAATATTCTTCTTAAATCTAGCGATATTGATATCGTGTGCCCATTCAAACATGTTGAGTTCCGTTTCGTCCCAGATTGGTGAGGGAACTTCAACGGTTTGTGTAACCGCAGGCTTGGGTTTTCGCCAACCGACTGTTCCTGTAATACGCTGTTGAACAACTGCGTTCGAATTCTTCAACGTTAGGCAATGTTTTGAAATTTCACGAGAAGAAATACTGCATGGGGACCTCCACATTACAAAGGAACATGCCTGCCCTCTATTCCATCACGCACGCCGACGGCCGCTTTCAAACGAGGTCGATTGTATCGAAGAAATGCCGCTTGCTTAGCTGACTGCTTTCAGCATTCAACAGATAGTAAACTGAAGGTTTTCAAAGTATACTTGCGAAGACTTGCAACACCGGGGCGAGGCTCTCCGTTGGTAGAAGAACTTATTTTTGCCACCACTGAGGATACGATGGCCAGAGCATTGTCCTGCTAGATGCTTTGTTCAACAGAGAATTTCAAGAGCAAATTCTCCCGTGCTTAGTGTTCTCACATATACCAAAGGTATGAAATTTGTTCTTTGGCTTGCGTTCACGGTCGTTCAAGTGTCTTTTAGGAGTCATCGCGTCCACCACATGGCAAAAGCAACATGATCGATTTGATTGACTGGCGCTGCGTATATACGCAGGTTGCATGTATATACGCAAACATGAGTGGGTACACATTTTTGCCCAAACCCACTGCCAATCTGCCAGATATGTGGAGCAGTGTGGCGTCATCGATGTTGTCTAATTCTGTCACTTCGCGCTTGTTAGAAATAGTGCGGGGCACTTTACCGTTGTATGCATACACTGCATTCTGCGCAGAATGCGGTGGGTAACGTGACTCGATCGAAAACCTATAGGATTGCGCAGTTCTGAGGTGGATCAAGCCGTTACAGGGAGCGGTCCCGAGGGCTCAGCAGCGCAATATGCAAGCTTGCTAAAGCAGCCTGTGCCAATATTGGATTGAGATTAATCTCTCGAACACAGATGCAATGAAAAATAAACATATGGCGCAGATTCCGTGCCCAGTTTGGTATGGCGTCATTAATTTCCTGGCTGGGGCTGTGTTCTCTCTCCCTGAAGCAACAGCCACTGTGGCCACTGCCACACGTTAGCGTACCTTGCTTGCGCTGGGGCACTTCCAACAACAGCACTTTCTCGACATATGCCAGTTTGCAGGCTTGTCATTTATGGCGCAAAACTTGATCGGTTCTATGTTTTACGCGCAAAAACAGTTTTACGTTTCTGTGCGTGAAAAGGCGTAAATCACGTAAATGTAGCGTAAAAACAGCGCAAAATACAACACCATGTGCATACAGACTTACGGAGCCCAGGGAGTGGCAGACAGACGCTCTGAGTGGGCAAAACCGAACTTCTGTTCGATGATGCTGTTGCCATGCCGACGGCGAGGTGGACGCCATGTTCCGTATGCTCCAGAGGCGGAGGGCTGGTCATTATGCGCGATTTTCATCACGTAACTTGGTGTCCGTAAAACGTTTATAATTGGCTGCTGTTGGAATATTGGTGATCATGTTGCTGTGCACCCTGCAGCACGTCTCATGGAACGGAGGATGTTGGAATGCAACCAGAGCTGCGCCGTGCTTCGGGTTGCAGTGTGTGTAAGCAGACTTGGTTTTTACGTTTGCGTTTACGTTTTTACTTTTACATTGTTACGCGTAAAAATGTAAATTTGCAAAGCGCCTATTGTTAAGGCTACTTTTTCGTTTTTACGCCGCGCTGGGACACCCAGGTTACACGATGAAAGTTGTGTACAATGATCAGTCCTCCGCCATCTCCAGCACCCGCAACACAATGTTCACCTCGGCCTTGGCAAGGGCGATGATGGTGTTCAACAAAAACTCGTTTTCTGCCCCTTCTAGGGCGTCTGGCTGCCACTCTCCGGACTCCGTAAGTTTGCATGTACTGTCCTTATGTACACCGGGCAGTTTTTACGTTGTATTTACATATTTTTACGCATTTTTACACGTAAAAACGTAAATACGATCAGTTTTTACTGCGCAAAAACCAAGCCTGTGTGTAAGTGTCTATGAAGCAAACACCACTATTGTCCCACGTGCTTGCCTTTGCCTCCAACCCTGGCAGTTGTTCAGTTACGCACACGTCGTCGCACTTTGCCAGGGCGACGCCGACAGTGCTGTGGTGTGCAAATAGGCGCCAAGCTCGCAGTGCAGCATACACTGGTAGAAAACAGCATGTTTGCGATGCCAGCTGCGATGCTGTTTTGACACAAAGTGATGCCGTCACAGTGATTGCAATGGCATAAAAGTGGCTGCGATGGCATCAATTTGTGACAAATGGCATCGCAATTGGCATCGCAAACAGGCTGTTTTCTACTGGTGATAGTGACAGCATAGTTTCATTGACCATTGCAAAAGTGCATGAGTCGGCGTGTGAATGTGGACGTCGCGCAGTTTATGCCTGAGAAACGCCAACTTGAGGTTGGACGTAAAAACGTAAGAATAACAAGCATGCATCCAAGGCAAAGGGAAGTTGGCTGGAAAGTCTGCCTGCAATACTTCATTCGTCACGGTGGAGATTTGGAAACTGCCCTTGGGTGTATTCTTTGGCCGTCGTTGCCGCAGCAAAGCCGGAGCTCTCCCGGTCCCGTTCCATGAACCCTGGATGGACGGTGGCGCAGAAATTGCTGCGCGGGGCAATTGTGGATGCCAGGTACGGCTGAGTCACTTTCGACTCCGCCGCCATCCCTCCACCGCCCTCCCCGTTCTCCCGTCCTTTTGGCGCTGTGAGATCACTGGACGGGCCCGTAGATTTCCATCCCCCTCGGGCGTTCCCTTCTCCCGGGCCGCGGCACGCCATCGCCCCAGACTCGCCCGCGGGCAGCCGTGGGCTTTGGGCTGCAGGTGCGTCCGGGGATCGCGACTGTGCCGCCATGTGTTGAAATGTGCGCCGCCATGGGACCTGTTTGGCATGGGCGTCTACGCAAGGCGCCAAAGTCAGCGGGCAAGGTTGGCAGGATCATTGCCTGGCGCGGGTGATTTCGGGCCGTCAGGAGGGGCAGCCATTCGCCAGCGCGCCGTTTGGGGTCCGTTCCCGGCGGCGTCGCATCTGGTTGCGCCGACAACGCTCTTGGCCGGCTCCTTCCCGCGGCCGCTGGGAATCTGCAGGAGGTGGTTCCAAACGCCTTGGCCCGCAGCCGTGCCGCTCGGATTCAGCGGAGACGGCGCTTGCGCCTGTCGGAGGGAGGTTCTGTGGAGTGCGCGAGTTGCGTGGGTGGTGGCCGGTATGTGGATCTGGACCGGGGAGAGCCCTCCCGGGGCGCCCGGCGGCCCGGCAAAGCGCTGTCGGCAGCACCTCGACCGTTCACTGGCTGCGCCCGGAGCTTTGGATCGGCCGTGCTGACGTTCTGGCGGCTGCCTTTCTGCTTGCGCTCGTCCTGTGAGACCGGCTGTCGCCGATCCACGGGCGCCCATGGGTGCCCATGGACACCAAAATTCGCAATGCGGAACGACGGCGATGCGGCGCTGACCCGCCCTGTGACCCGCAGCAGGCAGGCCAGGGCCGGCCACTCGCCGCGCGCCCTTTGCGCGCCAACGTTCCGCCGCGTCCCGGCAGTCCTGCCCCGCTAACTTGACTGGTTTGACCGGGCGCCGCTTTTTGCATATTATTCGGCTATTATTCCACCAGCTTCCGCAAGTTGCCCCGCCCCGTTCAGGCCGCAGCAGTTTGAAATTGGGACGCTACTCGTGGCGCTGCGACCCCGACGACCTCCCTGACCTCTCGGAGGCGGCGGGCGCCAGGCGGCCGCGCAGCTGAGCAAACGATCGCCTATCGTCGCGGCAAAGCCAACAGTTGGCCAACGTCGCGGCGGCGTTCCAGACTCGGCGGTGCACCGGTTGCGAACCGACAGGCGCGCTCCCTCCCAAAAGGTGCGCGCGCTGTGCGTTCCGAGCGGATGCGAAATCTCGCGAAGCCTGCCAGCGGCTGGGCGAGCCCCTGGCTGGTGCGTGCATCCGCGCTGAGCGTGGGCATTCCTGCGCAGGTAGCCCGGGCCACGCATCCTGTCGGCGCAAAAGCAAGCGGGGCGGCAGTCCTGCCGGGTAGCTAAGGGGCTTCGGCGTTCATCATGAGCACCTCCAGCGCAGCGGCCTCGATCTGCGCCGACGGCGCCCCTGGGGAGGCCTCCATCGCGGAGGAGCCCGCCGGGCATTCTCGAATGCGCAAGTCCAGCTCCTCGCCGGTTCTCAGCACGCTGGGGATCCCGGAAGGGAGGCTGGAGGCGGGCGGCGCCGAGGGCGACAGCGGCCTCAACGTGTACGTGGTGGCCAGGGCGATCGAGCGCGGTGGGCCGCAGATGCTGCACTCGCTGTCCAAGGACGCCAAGAACGCGATGGTGCCCCTGGGCGTGTGCCACTACATGACGGTGTTCGAGACGAGCGACGGGAGGCTGGTCCAGTTCGACTTCGGGCCTGCGGGGGGGGACGTGCACAAGGGGGTGCCGGTCTCCTGGGTGGCGGGCGCGGAGCGGGGCGAGGAGGGGAAGGCCGGGTTGGGCGGCAGGCACGGGGTCGAAGGCGAAATCAGGGAGCACCAGGTTGGTGGGGCTCCGATTGGCGTGCTGACTTGACCTAAACAAAAGGCGACGGGTTCAGCCAACAGAAATGTGGTAATGATGTTGGAAGGTGGGAAGAAATGGGCCCAGAGTGCATGTGTTCGGCAACGTGGTTCCAAGGCAAAGTGCATTGTCCATGACCCCTCTTTGTATCTGCAGATAGTTTGGTTTTGGTGGTGCCGGCCGAGTGCGCAGATGCCATGTTGTAGCAATGAAGGTGTTGTGCTGGAATGGCAGAGTCCACAAGTCATCCACAAAGAATGTTTCATGCCTTGGCTTCCTGACGCCTGATAAATGGTGTACTTTTGAACTGACCATTTGTTTGTATGCAGAATGGCGAGTTGGGGAAGCCAGCTCTGTGTGGCAGCATGTGGCTCAAAGCAGTGGTGCACAACTTGCCAATGTTGATGCTCATTCCACGATCAAAAGGGGACAATCAGATAATTCCATTCACCCCAATGTTGAATTCCATACATCAAAGCACAATTCCACACTGGTACGGTGGAGTATCGGATTCCATTGTCCATACGTGGACCTGATGGCCTTGTGTGTTTGGCTCCCCGTAATTTCCAGCTTGCAGCTTTGCCAGAGGAGCATCTCTTCATAGGGCACACACCACTGCGGCTAAGTGACATCCGGAGCTACAACGCAGTACAGCCTCTCCATTACGAGCTCCATAGCAATGACTGCAGGCAAGTTCTGGTGGCGATGCATGTGTGGAGCGAGTACTCCTAGGGCAAGGCAATTCTGTTTCAGAGATTCTCTTGCCCTAGGGAAGCCTGTCATAGATCAGTACTGGTAGCTTGTGTGCAGTTAAGAAATTCGCCATGCCACTTGCAGCCTGGATGACGGGCAATGCAAGGCATTCGAAGGTTCCAAAATGGCGACTAAAGGGTTTCTGAGTAGCCAGCCATTATGCGTGCCAGAGGACAGAAGATCTAGAGTGTCCCAAGAGTTGGCGAAGTGCCTGAATTGTTGGAGAAATTTTTTTAACTTCACTCATATATGCATTACTGAACGCCACGCTCCATCGCTGAATTGCCCAGGATGGCAGTAACATGCGCGAAGTCTGATCACACTGTGCTGTCACTATGATCATTGTTGATAATGAAATGGCCAGTTGACTTCAACGCAGTATCTGCTTTGTGATGGACTCACTTGGTGACTGGGGCAATTACGGCAACTATCATCGCCGTGACATTGACGCAACATAGCAAGGAGGTTTCCGTCAGCTTCCTATTTTGCCAGAGCAAAATGAAGTCCACGATTTGTGCATTGCAATTTAGTGCCCAGCACAAGCAAAATCCAGAATCCATGTGTTCATGTTTTGCGAGAATTGTTTGTCGACAACAGGATGAAAGTAGTGGCTTGGCCAGTGCCTCAATTCCGCATTAACAATGCCCAGTGGCTTATGGCCAGGGAGGCAAAGACCTTAGCATAGGAATTGAACCTGAACCTTCGCCAGTTGATTCCATCGAGCGTTTACGAGGAATGGACCTTGGTGAGGACAGACGCACCTAATCGAGCCGCGAACAGACGTCTGGGAAAGAACTGTTTGCTCAAGCACGTCTCGCGTCTTGGCGTCATCCTGGGTTTCTGACGCCTGTCACGGCGACAGTGTCGCCTCCATGCATGTTTCGTTTCCCGATTGACTGACGTCTCCGTGCCCAAGCCGCAGGCACTACGTGAACAGCCTGGTGCACTTCACGACGGGCGTGGACGGCGCCTCCGTGCAGCTCGTGCGCGAGACCTACCGCCGCCGCCACGCCCGGCCCCCGGCGCTCAGCGCCAGGGCCGTCCAGTTCGCGCAGTACTTCACGGACGTCGCGAACTGGGGCCGCGTCAAGGCGGCGAGCGGCACGACGCTGGCCACCCTGCTGGCCGCCTGGTCCGGCCGGGGCCTTGTCGGCCGCATGGCCTCGAACACTCTCACTCCCGCCCTGAGGGCAGTCTCCGTCTCCAAGTCTCTGACCACCGTCATCACGAAGAACCCCGTGGCGGGCGCCGCGGCCGCAGTGGCCGCGACCACGCCCACGTGGGCCGACGCCCCCCTCATCAGGGAGACCGTCAGCCTGGGCTCGGCCATGAACAGGGGCCTGATGAGCGCCGCGGGATCGGCGGCGGGGTGGCTGGACTGGCTACGCGCGCAGGGCGCGCTGGTGGACCTGGCGTCGGCGTCGTCGAGGGGAAGCAGGGGGGGCGGGGCCCTGGGGCCCGGCGTGGTGTCGAGCACGGCCGCCGTGGCGGTAGCGGTCACGCGCGGGGCGGCGGGCCTGCTGATGAGGGGCAGGTCGGAGCGGCATGGCAAGAGGAAGGCCCGGCGGCGGGCTGTGGCTGTGGCGGGGGTGGGCCGGGGGCTGCAGCTGGGCAGGCCGCCCAGGCTGGCGCGACCCGCGCTCCAGTCGAACGAATGACGCGACGGGGCTGCCCGCGACCGAATGCCGACTTGCCCAGTTACTCCCCAGTGGCCCCTTGGGCGGGCCTGTATTTTAGGTGTTGGTTTATTTTCTCCTGACCGGGACGCACGGCCTGCAACCGCGGGCCGCCTTGGCTCCGGGAGTGGCGATTGTATTATTGATATTGAGGGGGCGGCGGGCCGTGCGTGCCGAGCGCAGGAGCGTGCCGTCGGTTCTGTGCCGGGACGCACGCCGGCACGCTGGAATTTGAATTCTTTAAAGTGGACGTTGACGTGGCCTGAGTACACACGAGTGCTTCGCTGATTAGAGGCGCTGCGGTGGGGAACATGTAAGTTGAGGCAACGAATGACAGCAAAGTGTGCAGGCTCGATGCCAACTGTCGCATCAAGGGAGGTGCCGTTCCCGGTGCCGGCCTGAAGTGGCCTTGAGAGAACAGCAGGATGCTGACAAAAGCATCAACAATCCCTTCGCCACCACCTGCTGCAATAGGCAGTTGTTCGTCTGGCATGCTGCCATGTTCGGAGTGGCGAAGTCGCAACATGTCGACAATGTACAGCATACCATTTACAACGGGCCTCCCAGCGCACACACAAGTCTCCATCATGGAACCGCACCTGCCAAACCGCCCACAGCACCGATACCTGTATCGCTGTGCAGCCTTTTCGTTCCCTGTGGCCACACGCTGCATTCGTTCAGAAACCACCGCCTTGAACAGCATCCAATATTCAATCACTCCCCTCAACGAGGGCTGGGGCGACCCACGGGCCCAGCTTCACCAGCATGGGGCACGTCGTCGTCATCCCCACCATTGACGCCGGGGCCCCCTGAGTTGGTGGCAGTGAGACCATCCAGCATGGATGGCGGGCTCCCCGACGAGTCCGGCTGGGAACTTGACTCAGTGTGGGTGCCCACGGAAGTTGGGTGAGATCGCAGCTCAGCAACGGCCTCGTTCGTCACAGAGTCCAACTCCGGGGATGTCGACTCTGCATGAGAACCAACAGATGTGGGGTGGGAGCTGAGCACAGAAGGTGTCGGCCCCAAGAGAGTGACGTTGAAACCCCTGGGGCACGTTGCCAGAGCCGCGCCTTCCACCACTTCCCCAGACGGCCCCAACATGATCGCCCTGGGCACAAACGCTCCCATGGCAGAATCGTTCAAAGAATCGGACGACAATGATGTGCCATCTGACTCTTCCACTGTGATGAGCCCCTGCCCCACTGGGGCTGGTTCCTCCACTGAGGGGTTGGCCATAGTCTGGTGCACATCAGCGGGAGAGGTGTGCTCCAGGTTTGGGACCTCCTGCTCCAGTGAACCAGTTCCATTTATCCAACCTCCTTGCCCTCCTTCAGATAGCGAATTCACAAACAGCCCGCCCACGGGCCCATGAAATCCACGAGCCTCAACGCTTTCAAGTTGTTCCTTGACTGCCAAAAGTGAAATGGACTCATCCGATGAAGTGCCCACACCCGGGAGGTGTTCTGAATTTAGATGGCTGGGCTGTTCATTGTGCACGGCATCACCATTTAAACTGCGATTGGTTTCCATACCAGAGGGAATGGCAATGGAAAGGACAGCATCCTTTCCCCCCACACCAGAAGCGGATGTGACTTCGTCAACCAACAAGCGAGCCACCTCCTGTGAGAACAAAACAAACCTCAGCATAGCACATCAACAACTGCATGCAGCTGGCGCAGCCCCCTCGATCACTGCTGATTGTGGTCTTCTGCATAAATCTGACGAACAGGAAGAAAACATGACTGCACATTGTGCACTGGTAAGGAATGGCAATAAGCTCTCAGTGAACACAACTGTCCTGGGTTGCTCGGTACCTCCTTTACTGATGTCAGATTGCATGATGGACTGTCTGATGCCATGTGTTGCTGTTTTGCACAAAGCATGTAATGGAACACTTCTGTGGATGCAGCAAAGGCATTTGAGATTCTGAGCTGACACAAAGGTCGTCAATGTAGCACAGCATCATGAAGCAGTGAAAATGACGAAGGTGATGGCCTCTGGCCCTAAGCATATGCAACTCAATTACATAAAGTGGTGGGTTGTGACAGCACATGTGCTGAAGAAAGTGCATTTGTAACCTTGGCAGCTCAGAGGGCAAGGATGTAAACGATGATTTAGCATCATGAATTGCTTGCTTCCCTTTGATGTTCCTTTCCCAGCACCCAACCTAAAAGTCAGGGAGAACAGAGAGCATTGCCACATCGGCATTGCCCAAGAGTGCTGCAGGCATAACCCCGCTGCTGTCTTAGGATCGTCCCCTTTCCCTGCATGCATATCTCTGTTCACCAAGTTTGGACCCAAGATTCTGTTTCGGGCATTCGACAATTACCATTCACTTCCTTGTCAACCTACAGCACAAACATTTGAGCAACAGGCTGCACATTGCAAATGTCAATCCACACTAAAGACACTTTTGCACCGAAGGCATGTCCACAGAATGTCTGCAGAACCCCATATGGAACTCCATTGCATTCCCATTAAGGATTCCTGTTCAGGGCAATGCCATCATATGTGTAGAGCAAGAAGCAGTCCTGCTAGACACACGAGATGCCAAGGCTTCGCATATCTTTCACATATGCAGATGATAACAGCTCCCAGTGTTTCTGTTGATGCGGAGGGATATATGCCATCCATCACCCCCTCCAAATTGCCTTCAACTTAGAACAGCATAAAGCAAGTTCACAGCTGCTGTTGACCCTTCAACATTCAGGAGGAAAGTGCAACTTGAACGTGTTGGGCAGATCACTATTACGCACAACACCTTGCCAGAGTTTGCGCATCCAGTGGGCCCGTTATCCACCAACACGTCACTCAATGCGCATCCCTGTTCGACTCCCAAGGGTCAACAACAGGCGGGGAGAGAATGGCGATTACATTCCCAGCAGTATGACACTCCTGTTGAAACACCGTTCATGCCCCAAAAGCGAACGTCCAGGCACCCGACCGCAGCTTGAACTTGGGATCGCCCAAGAACTTTCTCGGAAGACGTACAGACACAACAGCTCGATGTTAAGCTCCAAAATTTGTGAGCTGTTGCTTGGGGTCCAGGGCTTGTCCCACAACAGAAGAACTCCGCCATTTGTTCCACTTCAATACAAGGGTACCCGCGAGGCTGCGCATTCTTGAACAGCCCAGGAGCCAGCCGCGACCATCCCCCTCACCCCACCCCCCGCCCTTCCAGCGGCAAAGCATCTCGCATCCCCTGCAGAAATCGGATTCCCAGCCCCGGCGTCCGCGGGCGCCGCGTCGTACCTTGCCCAGGTGCCACGTGCCGTGCACGGCACCCACAGCCGCGCCAGCACAAGCCAGACACCCGTCAAGAGTATTCATCCCCAGGCGCCAGGAGCCCTGCATGACGCCCGCCACCGCCCCCGCGCAAGCAAAGAGCCCATCCAGGGTGTCCACTGCGCAGAACATGCCATGCCATCACCACGTGTTCATGCGCGTCCTCGGCCATCGGCTCCCAAACCCTTCAGCCCCCGCACACAAGCCCTCAGGGCGCGCTATGCGCCCGCCCTGGAAACTGCCTGCGCCTTTCGGATCGCTAACAGGGCTCCAATCGGGCCTTAGTCGCCCCTTCCCCCCTTTCCCCCTCCCCTTCTCCCCTCACCTGACAGCTTGGTAAACTGGGCATCTTGCTTGACGAAGGATGTCCCAGCCGACATTGCACCAGGCCCTGAGACCCCGCGTTGCACCGAGGCGCTCGCCTCTGAGACGAAGGGGAGGAAGAGGGCCTCCCAGGAGACGCCCGCCTGGACGGCCCCTGTGCGCTGCACTGCGCAGAGGGCGGCTCCACCGCACCCTCGTACAGGTCCTAAGTATTCCCGGTACATTGGCAGCAAGCCGGCAACGGCATCTGCGAACCAGTCATCCTCCAAGCACCGCCAACGGGCCCCAAGGGCCCTGCACTTTCGCTGGTAAGACCGCCCTGCGGTCACTGTGAGCATCAACGGCGGGCCGCGCGCTGACGGCGACAGCGACGCGAGCGGCGGCGCGAAGAGACCGTCGGCGGCTTTTTAGTGCGCCCGGCGGCTAGCTCAGCCGCGTCTGCTCCTAGCTGCGCGCGCCACGCCCGGACTGGCCGCTGATGACAGAACAACGGGAGGCGCATTTTGGCTCGCCCATCAGCGAACAGACGGAGCAGAGGTATGCGAGCGCGGTGCAGACGAACCCTGTAGGACTCTTTTCCTGAGCTTCCTTGATGGTGCTTGTGTTGACGCTGCTGAAGTTGCAGCGGATTTTGGTGGGCGCCGCTGCCACAAGTCTAGCCGCGCTGTAATCAGAGAAGGAGTAGCAGCGACTGGGTTGAAATCAAGCAGGATGCCGGCCAGCAGTGACCATTAGCGACGCACACTCCTTGCATGTGCAGAAGATCATCCTGTGGCTTCGAAGCATCTTCACCGGCACAGAAACAGGCGTAGCGCTTAAAGCGGGCGATGCCCCTTTGCTGCAGGCACGAGCTCTAAGTACCACTCGACGGTGCCCATGGCTGCCCGCTGGGCCTAATGCAGCCCAGCCGCCAGCGCTAGGGTGCACTGTCCCTGCCACGAACTGCTTTGCGAGCCACGTGGCGCGCATGCGGCCAACTCGCGGTGATGTTGTCAAGGCACAAGAGCCAAGGTGCCCATTTTGCTTCTATTTTGTGACAAAAGAGAACCGCGTTGTCGCGCAGCCCCCAGTTTCCTGTTGGGAAGTTCATGTCCGGGTCCGCGAAGTACGATTGTTTCCTGTCAGCCCGCGACGGAATGGGATGACTGCGGGCGATCACCGCGCCGCGCCGCCAGGTGATGCGCTGATGCGGCGTTCCTAGCTCGCCCCTTGTGTCCCTCCAGCATGGCTGGCTAACTCGTTCCTGCCGTCCTCCAGCTATGGACGGAGCGCTTTCAGTTCCGAAGACGGCGTCCTTGCGGAGTGCGGGCTGACAGAGACGGGGCTTTTCGCGGAGGTGCCCCTGGACTGCATGGACAGCATGGGCTGCATGGACATCGCGTCATGGGTGGACCTGACTCAGCACGTGGCTCCCACGTTCGACGACCCAGCGACATTCCACGCCCTGGACCACCGCCACCCAATCCTGCAGGACGCGGCCTGGCACGGACGGCTCCCGCCCATCGGGGTCGACATCTCGAAGAAAGAGCTGCACCGTCTTCTCCTGACGAGGAGCCACAACGGGACAAGCAACTCGTCGACGCTGTCGACCGAAAACGCCCTTCGCGCGGGAGGGCTTGTCGCAGAAATCCCTGAATTCCGGGAGCAACGGCGGGAGGCAGAGCCAGATGTGGTGCAGGCATCCGCATTGGACAAGAGTTTTTATACGGAGATCGACTCGTCCGACACGCCCATGAACACCGCGGGGCTCTCCGAGTGCCAACGGGGTGTGCACACGGCGAATTTCCGCGGGACGAGGAGTTGGCCGACAACCTCGCTGGGCGCCAGTGACGTCCGCGAGGATCAGTCCAGGGATTTTCTGTGCGGGGCACCGGGGAGAGCGTCGGCTGCGGCAGGAGAACCTGCTGCGCACGCACGCGCGGCGACAAGGTGTCGACCGGGTGACGCCTTGGCGCGCCGCCGAGGAAACTCGCTTAACAGAGCCGTGTCCGGCGGCATCCCGGAAGACACCTTGAACGGTGAAGACCGGTCGAGGGACTCGCGGCGCCTGTGCGGGGACGCCGGAAGCGCCCGCAGCAAGGAAGCGGCGCGTGTGGTGGTCGAGCGGCCGATCCAGGCGGTGTCTCTCCGCGGCGAGAGCGTCCTGAGGGGCGCCCCAGAGCTGTGCGTCTGGAAGCCCACGCTGTGCCCGCGGAGCGTGTGGAACGCGCTGGCCGACGTCTGCGCGGGGCGCCGCGCCGGCGTGGCGCGCCGCTTCCCCGACGTGGCGCCTGACTCTGGCTTCTTCTACGGCACGGGAGAGAGGTGCCTGGAGGGGCCGGGCAGCAACTTTGGCGGATGGAAGAGCGGCAGGCTGAAGGCCGTCGACGGCAGCAGGGGGATCCTGATCATCAACGGTAGGCACAGGGGTTACCGATGGGACGGGAGGGGCCGCGCCGTGCTGCACCGCCAGCTGAGGTCCGGCGCGGAGGCGGTGGGCATGGAAAAGGTGTTCAGGGTGAGCAGGAGAGTGCCCAAAGACGGGGGGTGCTGGAAGCAGGCCACCGTGCGGGCTCCGGGGTGGGCAACGAGGAAGGGCGACCAGACGAGGGGTGTGAAGGTGTTCTACGAGACCAGGGCGTGCCTGTATGTCTTCAAGACGGTGTTCTATGGGGACGTCGAATGAAGGTGGCGAGAGCGCGGTGGTGAGGGGGCGCTGGCGCGGTGCAAAATTGCTTTTGCAGTGTGGGTGCGCCGAAGGCTATTCGAAATATATCGAAGGGCATTAGTGTTGGTTGGGGACGAGGGACCGCCGCTTTTTGAAAAACCAAAGTTGAGACGAAGTGGAGAGACAGAGGGTGGCTACATGGTCAGCATTCCTGAAAATGTGGGAGGGAAAGTGAGTGCCACTTTGGGTGTGGAGTTGGACTGCCATGCTGCTTAGCAGTTGGGGATGGGCTGCAAAGTATGAAACATGCTCCGAATTTTGGTTGAATTGTTGTATATTGTATTCAATATTGTATTCAATACAAGTTGTGCTGTGAAATATGAGCCCATTTTCTTGATTTTACATGTTCTCTTTGCAAATGAACTTTCTTAGCCATGCTATCTTAATTGTTCAATGGGGCCGAGTTCTTTGGTCCCACTGTTCATTCGAACAGAGCTGCCCCAATCCAAACACTAGTCGGTGACTTTCATAAACATAGAAATAGCAGCCTAAATTTTTAGGCAGTTTGGCAGTATTCAGAAAGAAAGTGACCACTTTTCCGAATGTACTGGTACAAGCAAGTATACTTGCTTATTCGTACCGTAAAGTACAAAAGCCCTGTCAACATGCAATTGGCGCTCCGCGCACATGTGGAGCTCCAGTATTCTGGGGCACGCTCTGTTCGTTATGGAAACACAGCTGGTGCGTGGGCGCGCCAATTTGGTTGCAACAGGTGTCGTATCATCAATGGAATCGAAAACTGCGCCACTGTTTTTGGAACAATGGTGTGGTACCATGACACCTGATGCCATAAGCCATTTGAAATTTCCCATGTTCTCCAGTGACACAAAAACGGACACAGCTGCACCAGGCCTCAAAGCAGAGCAATAAAGCAGAATTCAACTTGGGAGGAACTATGCAAATGGCATCCACGCATTTGTTGGCGTAGGCCACAATGATAGTGAAGAAATCTGGATCACAGCAGCGCTTGCAAAATGCGCCTTATGTGTTTCTACAATACCCTTTTCTGAATGTAGTGTACACTTTTCAAACCACTACCTCCGTTTCAAAAGTCTTGCCGCTTATCCAATCTTGTCATAGCTTTGCAAGGTCCACCCAATTAGTAACTTTTGTCATCATATTCAGATCCTTGGTCGATTTTGAGGTAATGTGCATCCTGACTATATTATTCATTGCAACGCAACAAGAAATTCGCAGCCTTACCAAGGCGTCCCTGTCCATCTTCGTCAGGGTCCCAATTCCCCATAGTTTTGTGCTCCAGCCCATTTCCCAGAAATTACTCAAGAACTTTGTTGCAGAATACAAATAGGCACTACCACAACCTTTCAAAAACTTTTAAACCATTGTAATCACAGTCTTTGTGGTCAATCTCTTCCACTATGCTGACTCATGTGTTCGAAGTTCTCAATTTTAACCACTGGCCAGGTTGACACAAACTTAGGCCATCCTCGTGCCCGCGGCAGCATGCACGACCTTCCCAACGTTGTTGCGCTGGCTGCGTCAATGTTCTTGCACTAATCTAGATGTCCCTTGGCCTTTGGCCACAACATACGCACAATTTTTGACACCTGAAATTTTGCGGCAAGCCCGCATTCTTTTTTTGTGGATTCTACTTTGAATTTAGCCGATATCTTCAGTGTATACATACCAAACCACCAAGCCGTACCTCTCCCATAGCAAAAATCCAACTCGATCCATGTCCGACGAAGGGCAAGACGAACTCGCCATGCCCTGCTCTAGGTCCCGACACAAGGAAACGTGCTGTCTGTGCTCCTGTCAACACATCTCAAGAATGGCAGCGCCATTTTCCATGCTGAAGGGCACTACGGATAACTATTGATATGGCTTGTACAGGTTGCTCTGGTCGAATTCGTTGACTCACGCGTTTTGCTCTTCGTTTGCCCGATAAGCGACAGGAATTTTGAAATAGAGACAGTATATATTCTTTACGTCCATTATGGACGCTGCTGCCCCCGTTCAGGCTGCCCAGGCGCAAACAACAAGATTTTGTCTTGGACTACTTTGCAAAGCAGATGCAACATTCATTAATTCTCTGCAAACCTGTGTTGACATTTCATTGTGCCCTTCAAACGAGGGTTTTTGTTCTGGCCTGTGTGTCTTGAAACTATCCAGATTGGCTAAATTTAAACTCTCCTATGGAGCTCTACAGGTCTTGCCTGCACTTTTTGCCAATTTGATTTTCAAACAAAGATCCCTGGCTATGCAGAGCATCTGCACTACTTTGGTCTTAATTGCGAGGTCAAATTTTAGGTATTAGCGCAAGTTTTCCACGTGAACTAGCGGCAAAGTGCGCTGATACACTCAAGTTTGGCGCCCGCCTTAGAATCAATTCAACAACAACTGCTGAACTACTTAACAACATCATTTGGGCACAATGAGCATATCGAAGCGTTTGATGTGTACAGTGGTACACAAAGTGCTCACCAATAGTTTTCTAGGCTGGATTTGTCCGGAAAAGAAGCCGCAAGGCAATTCAAAAGCACGTTATATTGAACCAAGGTTGCGCGGTTTTGTCTGTGTGTTCGCTGCTGCGAGAATCAGCGAACCAGAATGGCTCAAATTGTCACTTCAGTTGAAGTGGTCGCAAGGAAACTGTACCGCCAGTAGTGTCGCTTGAGATTCTTGGGAATCAAGTTCACACCCGATCTTAGTATTCAGCCAAAAGCATAATCACCGCCTGCCAGTCGTTGTCAGGTTGCAGCCGCTGGTGCGAGACTTATAGAACATAATCAGATTCCACAATGTCATACCAAGAACGCGGCTTGGCGCAATGGCTGCTTCTTAATGCCTCCTGTTTACTTATGGACATAGCGTATTTGGCCTTAGTAGTGGGCAGTGTAGTAGATACAACGCAACACTACCATAATGGAACAAATCATTGTAGTCATCAAGCTAATACTTTCGTGGATTTCGGGCGATGTTACAGTCAAACCCAATGCCCAGCCCCCATAGTTGTGTCAATTGCGGAAGGGAGCTTTGGGCAACATTTCAATGAATTTTGAAACCAATCTTATCATGGAAGTCGCCATACCAGGACCACGAGTGCAGCAGGAAATGGAATTACCTACCCTATGCATGGGTTTCTGCCAAGGGCGACGCTGGGTACCGATGATTCAAATCGGTAGCAGTTTGAATTAAACCGGTTCCTGGCCCTAGTACCGCCAAGGATCCTCTCGGTTCGATCTAGGCGTTGCAGCAGTTGTTGCAGATCTGCCATCGATGGGAACACCGACAAATTGTCGGGCAGCCACAGAGCTCCAAATCGCTGTGGAGCTACACGCGTCTCCGACGCGCCCAAGTGCAGACCGCGTTGCCGTGAGGCAACAAAAAAGATGGCGCTCACTGGCGCGCGTCCCCTTTTGGCTCCACCACCAGTGAGTCCAGAAACCGGAACACAAAATCCAGGTCCAAGCTGGTTGTTCAATCGCCAGTGCGCGTCCCCGCGCCTGGCACTCAGTTGCCGAGCTCAAATTGTCCCATAGTATTTAAGAAGAGCGCCGTCTCCCGTTCATCCCAATCTGGCGCTTCCCACCCTGCGCCGTCCTAGACGTAAACGCTTTAACTACGCTAACGCTGCACACAGTGATCAGGGAATCTAATATGATGTGTTGCACTTCTCCTTATTTTTCTAGCCGCTATCTACTACAATTGACATACGCACACGAACACCCAAGCCCAAACTAACACTGCGTGGACTTACACCCGTCATCGCCCAACAGGTGCAAGGGCTGTGCTTATGCAAAACATGGTCAAAGCAATTCGACGATAATGATGATCTATCTCAACATTTTTCCTATGGGGCGCTTGCAGAGAATATATCACAAGTTCGCCGTGACCAGTCGCGTCCTATAACACTTCCCCACTCCGCTTTGCTACTTTGATTGCCCATTCTAATTGAGTCATTCCCTGGACTGCCCCGTGAGTACCTGGACTTCATGTAACCGTAGCTTCCTCACTTGCTATCGGATTCATCATTTCAGAAGTTCACGAGCATCAAGGGGCCCCTAAACCAGCTCAGCACAGGATCGATTTGCTGTAATGAGCTAAATTGCAACAACAATGTAAGAGCTGCAGCCTGCCTGTGGTTTTTAACACTGGTAAAACTGTCAATTGTTGGCACCAAAGGCGAGCCAACAAGAATGGAAATGCGTCACTCGTGGTATTTCATTAGTTTGGAGAAATTTTGGCTTACTGCAGTCAGTTGGTTTTGTCCGCAGCCTTTTCACCTCGTGTGCAAAAGGAAAGTGCGCAGAACTGGGTCGACGTGCAACTAAAGAACATTTGTTGGAGGAAACTGCGCCATCGCCTGCAGAGGCTCGGATTGCCATATGCCGCCGGCGAGCTGTTGTTCATGGAATTAGGCGACCCTGTATTGCTTCGTTGGCTGCCCACCCCTGCGAGAGCGGTTGCATGTCACAACCAGGCAAGAATACCGCAAATTTTTCCATGCCCTCAAAAATGTGCGGATCTGGTAGCGCAGCGCCCGCAAAGTTCGCATGGACCAAGACTGCAGTGCACGATCTCCAGGAAGCAATCCTTGGCATATCGATGCTTGCACCGCAGCACCGTTGTTGCTAAACGTCCGTGCCATAAACTTGTAAACTTGTAAAGACGAAAACGCAAGAGGCATCAACTGATCGAACAGCCTCATTTAAGCGTCGGTGGATTGTGGGCTGTTGCGTTCACATCTTCATCGTCCAGTTCTGACAGCTACCGCCTTGCAAGCGGTAGGACTTTGAAGGGGCGGTCTGGCGGGAAGCTGCAAGCTCATCTTCCAGCTTCACAGACCAAGATGGAATCGTTTGGTAGGGGGGGCGCGCTCCCAGCAGAGGTGCTATCAGTTGCTGGTTTGTCGCCACAGCCGTGGGCGCTCTTTCAGAGGCTCCCCAACGACGGCTCCCCGGTAGTTGGCAGGTGACTGGAAGCGAACGTTGCCAATGCTGCCTTGCTGGACCCGTACCCTCGGTAGCGCGCAGCGTGGCCAATCGGGGGCCTTGCTTAACTCTGCGCATGTCGATCAGTCCTCTGAGGTGGAGCATTGGCTCGCTAGTCCTAATCCTGGTTGATTGTCTCTTTTGTTGCAGCTGATTCTCCTGCTGGTGTTCACATCAGGTGACCCCCCAGCCTGCTGACAGTCGCCGCATTTTTTGCGTCGCCTGGATGCCCCGCCCGGGCACGTTGTGAATCACGTGTCTGTGTGGCGCAGTGAAATTAGCAGCCAGGAGGGCGCACTGCCGCAACCCTCTTCGGAGGCCAGAGAAATGGAGGGCGATGACGTGAGTGGATTGAAAGGGGTGGTGATTATATCTGGTGCTTCCTTGCGCTTTTCTTGTTGGCAGAAGCCAAGGCCGCTCCTAACTTCTCCCTTGAAGGCACATGTGGCCATATATGTGTGCTGTTGAAGGCACATGTGGCCATATATGTGTGCTGTTGACAGTGGTCATTTGGGTTCGGTTGCCATGGTGCCGTCCAACATGGTCGTCATGCCAAATATGTTCGAGCCTTTCACAGTGGGTAGTATGTGGCAAGTCCACTAGAAAGTTGGTCTTAAATTTCGTGTAGAAACTGGCCATTCCCACTGCAGGGTGCAACAGGCTGTCCAGCCGTTTATTACCGGAGGTAGTGTGCCTGGCCAGTGCATTGAATACTAGGGTGTACAATTGAGGCTCCCTGTTATTGATACCATCCACACTTGAAACTCTCTTGTGGGACGTAACGGCTCCAGTATCAGACCTTTCAGTGTGCACATCCATGTATCTACAGCACTCGTGCCAAGGAGCAGTGTCCTGATCCAGCATGACCATGGGCCCGATTTTTGTTGTGAGCTTGTGTGTTTTCCTGACCAGGGCATGGAACATGCTGATGACAGCACAGCCTCAGGTGATAACGCCAAGTAGATAGACACAATGCAGGGCATGCATGCTCCCCCAGGTCAATGACATAAGAACCTGCGGGATGGCTGTCCAATGCCATTCTTGCTTGCCTTGTGAGACAGAGTAGTTTGCCAATAGATTAGTGGAGGTTTGTTGCAAAAATGTGCACCCTTTAGCTCTGAAACCACAGGAGCATTTTTCACCCTAACTGCATCGGAGTTATCTGTCGCAAGAGGTGTCTGTCGATGTTTGGAGGGTTGAATGGGTGTGGTTCCTGCACATCCTTGTTGGTGTTGTGCAGACCAGCCACCCAGCTTTGGCTTCCTGCTGTAGCTGCTGGGTGATCTGAGTGTGCATGTGCGTACTGTATCATCTCAGTGAGATATGACTTCATTTTGAGGAGTGCTTTTTTGCCCCTAGAGGAGCATCAAGGTTAGGCGTCAACACACCATACACAGCATATCATGTAAATAGTCAAATGAAATCAAAAGGCATATATATATATATATATTCGTTCATATATTCCTCTCTCTGTTTTTCAAAATCTCTTGGGTTGTTGATGATGTATGATTTGGCTGGAGATGGCAGCTGAAAGAGATGGCCCTGACGTTTTGCAAACCTGTTGCGCCCAAGGCTGCAACAGATCATGGCCAAGACTAGGGCTGTGCAGGGCAATTTGATGACTCAAATCTCAGATGGTTGGCAAGCAGCCAAAGCAGTGTTTGATCATAATCAACAAGCTATGTGTACAACATGCTGTGCATTAAGTTCACGGGCTAGAAAACAAGTTGTAATCAGAAGGCCAGTGTGGACCACATTGCTGCATTCTGACGTGGAACCGCAGCTGGTGGGATAGAATCTGCCACATTTTGTCACTGCTGCACCACAAGTTCCCTCGCCTTTCTGACACTGCGGGGCCCCATCGTTATCCCTTATTAGGTGTTCTCCTCTGGCAGCCTTGGGGAACCCATGCAGAGCAAACCTGGCCACAGCGATCCTGAAATTTGCGGGTGTGGCATGCCGCCATTACGAGCCTGGTGCCTTGCCTTCAATGCAGGTGGCCAGCCATCGGCCCTGCAGACTGGAGACCAAGATGTCATGCCATCTCCTGATGCAGTGTCCGAGGACTCAGGGGTCCCGTCTGTCGGCTCCAACTCCGATGCAGCAAAGCCTGGTCGCCCTTGGATGGGTTGGACGGGCATGTTTGGGTCCCGCAAGGGCAGCGCAAACAGCTCTGCAGCAAAGTCCCAGACAGGAGCAGTGGCTGGGGATGTCGCAGGAGATTCCACGGCAACCTCACCGGCCACTCCCGAAACGACTGGGGACCTAGAGAGGGATCCTGTGAGTGGTTCTCAAAAATGCCAGTTGTGTTGTATGCAAGGGCAGACAGTCTTGTTTGGTTGCAGGAACTCAAAGCTGCATGGGCCACCAGCTGAAGGACATTGAAACATGGGAGGTTGACACACTCATGTGCTTCACCCATTGTTGGTGATGCACCTGTCATTGTCCTCTCAAGCCAATCACTGACAGTTGAGTCGCCACAGGAAGCCCCGCGGCACAGCGTTTGAGTACATTCTGACAGCTTGCTATTGTACAGACATGGCAACCCCGGGCATACGTTTGACAGTGTCCCTTACCTGTGGTTCTGGCTGACTTGCAGGGAACAACAACACCTGTGGCAGCAACACCAATAGGAGACCTCACGCCTGCTGCTGACAGCCCTGGCAGCCCTGTGGACCAGGATGAACCAGCAGCTCCAGTGGTTGCAGCCATCCGCAAGGCCTCTGCACCCCCGTTGGCCACAGGCATACCTAGCTCAACAGATGTGGGTGCAATGCAGCAGGAGGAGGATGTGGACAATGGAAGAGATGGCACAGTCGAGGATGTAGGGGAAGACGGCGAAGGGGGTGCAGCAACACTTGCTATGGAGCAGCCAAGGGTGGAAACTGCGAGGGCGATGCCAACACTCCCAAAGAGGTCTCCAACATCGAGTGGGGGAGCTGCCAGGCCAGCTGGTATGGGGGGTGGCCTGCCCACACGCCCAGCTGTGCGGCCCTCAGGTTTGGGGGCTGGCCTTGCCAGCCGCTCTGCAAACAGTGGCACCATGGGTCGCTCTGGGACCCTGAGTCCTACTGCTCAAGAGACCCAGGGACCTGTAGGGCTCCCTGAAGAGCCGCCCGCAGTTAGGGCTGCACGGGAAAAGCTGCTGCAGATCAGGCTGACGATGCTGAGGGCAGCGTCAAGGCTGGAGATCAAGCCAGGGGAAATTTTGGTGCAGGAGTTCATGAACAGGGTTGACACTGCAGAGAGGGTCAGGTGCAGTCCATTGCATGTAGCCTGGCTGTTCTGTCCCCAGTAGAAAAGTTGATGTTGGATGCACGATTAACATCCTGCATTATGTCGCCCTGTCAGAGTTCTGTGTTTTCCAAGCTGAGCATACCGTGGACACAAGTTTGCAAGAAGACCAAGCACCACCATTTGCATTTTTCAATATAGCAGATCAACTTGTTTCTATGAAGATCTGTTTTGCAGCTTCGTGCTAGGTTTCACGAACTATGTGCCGGAACACAATGTCTGTGGCGTGTTTATTTCTGGAGTGAAAATCCACCATGGGTAGTCTTCTTGTTGCTGTCATTCGTGCTCGAAAGGCCTGTGTGCATGTGCAGCAGCTCCTTAGTTGATCAAATCTATTTCTATGTCAGAGGATACCAAGTGTTTGCATTTCAAACTCCCCCCCTGCACAGTGTTGCTTTCAATAACAGCCAGTGGGCTCGACAGCCCCAAAATGTCCCCAAACCTGACAGGGAGTATGTGGGCCACTCTGCAGATTTTCCAGGGCACCTATGAGGCCACCAATCGACACCTTGTTCCAGCAGGCCCTCGATTTGGAACAACAACAGGGAGCAGCATCAGATCTGGGCTATGATACAAATGTGCTCGTCTTGGGTCCTGCTGCCGTTGGGAAGACGTCGCTCATTCAGAACATCTTGGCACCAGATTCAGGCCTGGCACCACATTTTGCAACAAACCCGACAAAGGGAATCGCCACCACCACAGGACAAGTTTGTGGCCTTAAGATGACCTTTATCGACACACCTGGTCAGTTTGTCAGCGCAGAGTCTGCATTTGTGTAGCATTCTGTGATGAGCCACCCGGCAAGCTGTTTTGATGGATTGTTGTGGATTGTTGTGGAGCTGTTTTGATGGATTGATGGGCTGTGAATGCTCCATGCCTAAGGACTGCACCCTCCCCTCCCTTGGAGAAACTACTCTCCCGTGACTGCTCTTTTGTTGGTGAGCCCTTGAGAATGGCACGTTTCTTTGACAATTACACTCCAACTAAAAATTTTATTCAAATTGCAAGAACGAATCTGGCACTTCTGATGGGTAAAGTGGCCTATGGCCAAAGCAAGGAAGTTTAATGTGGATGGTGTGCCACTGTGCAGATCACTGTATGTACTCTCCTTACATCGTCAAAAATCACACAGCACCCTTGGGGTATGGACACTCCTCCCAAGTGTATAGTCGGTTGGGACCTTTCATGGCAGTTGTTAAGGCTGTTGACAGGAGAAAAAGACTAATGGCATAGACAGTGGACTAGACACTTGGAGTGTGATCAGTACCTGAAACCGCCCAGAACATGACAAGGCACTGGTTGTATGCTTGGACGAATGTATCAACTGTGGATTGTTGCAATGGCTCGTTATTCATCTGTATTCTCATGGGGCTGTGTTGCACCTAGGTCTGAGGATGGCCGCATCTTTGCGCCGTCAGAACATGGTGAACCTGAGGAAGATTAAGGCTGCTGTGAACAGATACAAGCCACAGATCGTGATGTATGTGGACCGGATGGACGTCTTCCGTAGAGAATTCAGTGACCTCCCTTTACTTCGCTTGATCAATGACATGAGCCCCAACATGCTATACAGTTGCATTCCTGTCCTCACGCATGCTAATGCGCCACCGCCAGATGGCACGCATGGAGAAATGCCATACAACGAGTACTATCGCATGAGGTGGGTTGTCAAGGGAGGGAACGCACTCTGTGGTGGAATTGGTGGGACCTTGACAGGGATTCCTGCTGCCAGTGTCTGAATTCAGGTCATGTTGCCAAAATGGACCTGCCCTGAGTGAGTCCCATTTCCGCATTCACATAAGCACAGAGCATAGCAAGTAGCAAACTGCCTCTCTGAAAAGGATTCAGGTCATGCTCTGGGCTCTGACAAGCCAAAATTATAGAAAAACAACATTTTAGTGTCTCTTATATGTAGATGCTGATGATTCTCGAATGTGAAAGGCATTTGTCACCAGTTATCTCAAAAGATGTTTTGGCAATATGTTGTTCTCTGCGGCTTCATGATCCAGGCAGGTGAATGGAATGTTAAGCACTGCGCAGTGGAGCTCAAACGCTTCATGGCAGAAAGTGCTTCCTGTATTGCCATCTGGCTGGCTTGCGTCCATGGTTCGAGGTTGGTCACTGGTTTGTGCACGGTTTGCTTTGTTCATCAGATTGTGTATCTGAAATCCATTGACAAGGTGCATTATGCATATGCTGCAGGTTGGATGCAGCCAGCCAGATCATCAGTCATGGTATTCAGGACATGAGGTGGGGTGGCAGGCCTGTTGGCTTTGAAAACCACCCTGGCTGCCGTGTGAACAGTGAAGATGTGCCCGTTCTTCCGAATGGGCTGCCATTTAAAAGAAATGTGAGTGAAAGAATCCCAAGGAAGACGTTTGCAGCCTGCAGACCGTCGATCTGAAATACTGGAGTCGAACTGTGTTGTGCTCAAAAGCCAAAGTGGTGCATCTGGCCAGTGTTGCTGTCTAGCTGATGCTGCTCGAGAGTCGCACAGTACAAAAGGGTGGTCTTGGGCTTCCTCTATGCAATATTGCCTTGTTGTATGCATGATTTCTGACACAAAAACATACGGAACTGTAAGGCATGGTGTTCTTTGCAGAGCATCACGAAGTCCACAATGGCTGTTGCCTCAGTTGAAGGCATCATTTGCAATACCTACATCAAGGAATGTGTGCTGCCAACCTGCTGCCGGTGATGTGGTTCAGGGAGAAACTTTGTGTGCTTGGTTTCACTTGCAGACCATTGGACAGTTAATCACAAGCAGGCTGTTCAAGGAAGTGGAGAACATTGTTCAGATCAATAGGACAGCCAGACCGCCTGCCATGCAGGCGATATTCAGCATGATGGGCCCACGCAAGCAGCTTCAACTCTCTGCCTTGGTTGCACAACTCCTGCAGTCAAAGGCACCAAGAAAATTCCCTGAAGAAGAGAGGTATGGCAAGTGCGGGCAAAAGTGTATTCTGTGGTGGTTTTGTAACCCTAAAGAGCACATCTGACTTGGCAAAGATGACACTGAATATGTGCTGCAGACACAATCTCCAGTCGTGTCCCATGCAAAAAGCAGTGTCACAAGTTGCGGAACAATGGCACCAGAGATGTGTTATTTCAGTGGAACGTACATGAAGGCGATTGTGCAGGGAGGGCAAGGCAAACCTCACAGGGAAAGACACCTTCGCAACTGCTTGCTGTTGCCCGGCTGCAAGTGTGTATTAGACATAATCATGGCAGTTGGCACTATCACCAAGGAAGTGTTGACCACGAAGATAGATCCAGCTTATCAAGCTACCATCCTTGAAGTTCACAGTGTTTGGAGCAGCCTGCCGATGTGTCTGAACAGTTTCACACTCCTGTGTAGAGACACAACTGTGTGTGCTTGAAAACTGTCAGCTGTTTTCTCCCAGTGTTGCACAGCACAGAAAACTGTGGTCTGCACAGCAAATATTCAGCCAACAGATGATAGCTTGCAAAGCTAGACAGCCACCATGGCCTCAACTGCTTGTTGCCATGGCCTCAAGTCACAATCCATAAGATCCAGAGCCCATCATCAGGATTGTGATAATTGTGCACAGAGAACTGAGTCAGCCATTTCTCGTCTTTTAGGGACCTCAAATCGGAAGCTGAACTCCAGCTGATGGATGAAAGAACTCGAATGATTGAAGAGCAGAAACGAAGGGACTATGTGCGACTGAGGAGGGTGGAGGTTTTGCAGGAAGAAGCACATCCCTCCCAGGTACATTCAATGATCTTGGCATACCCTGAGGGGCATGATGACTGCTGTAGGCTGCACAGTGCCGGCCACTATTATTGCCATGTCATCTGGAATGTATTGTTCATGTATCATATTTGGAAAACCACACATCAGTTGATGCAAATGAGTGCTGTGTTAATCTTCACATATCAACAGGGTCTCCCCAGAGGCAGTTCTTTGCAATTGACTATGAGGCCAGGACATGTGTGCATGGCTTTGCACCTATTGGTGCAGTGTTTTGTTTGTCTGAATTGCGGAAATGTAAATTTCCTAAGCTGATGTTGTGCTGTGCTTCAGGTGCCAGTAGTTGGACAAAAGATGGATCTTAATCCATCATTCGATCATGATGTGAACACCCACCGCTACAATGCCACTGATTTTGTGGGAGGGTGGTCAGTGCGACCCATAATCTCCCAGCAAGATGCAACATATGACCATGACGAAGGTATAGAAATGTTCCAGGTGGCACGGGAAGGCGTCGTAAGGCCAAAAGGGCAACACACTGGGGGATTACCTGGGTCGATGATCATTCAGGTGCGCTGCAAGACTGAAGACGGGTTTAAAGTTTTCACAGAGCAATTTACTGATGGTTGTTTACATGCACCAGATACCATAGTGCTTGGGGCTCCATTCCTGTTGTTCGTGATCAAGATACCACGATGAAATTTTGTTCTGAGGGCAACTGCTGTTCCTCCTGCATTCTCTGCACTTCGTTTGATTTGGAATTCAGAAGTGTTCATTGTGCTCCTGCTCAGGCCAGCAAACAGAAAGGGCCCCTGAGTCTCACCATGGAGTCCAGCATATCGTGCCACTCCAGCAAGAACATTATCAGCACGGCTGGCTGCATCATTCACCCTGCTGGTGGTGAGGGTGAACTCGTGTACACACCTTCCTTGGATGTCCGTGTGAAGATGCATCCAAAGGACAAGGTCTCTGTTGGAGTCATGGCAACGCGGTTGTCTGAGGATGGTTGGCCCCACAAGGGGCAGCTGAGCTGGGGGGCAAAGGTGGAAAACAAGCTCAAGGTGCGAGCAGGGTTTGCTGCGTGTGCTATGTTGAATTGTCTGGATGGTGGTCAGAAACATGTCCACTGTGTTCAAACGTTTCCCTTATTGCAAACCTCTGTTCAATACTGCAGTTGTCTGTCTTATTGGCACCCTTTTTTCAGAGAACAACCTCTCCCTGTCTATGTCTAGTACAGGACCATAGGGTGCAGACTGATCCCAAATTATCCTATTGATTCTATTGTTGGCGATTGGGCTGAAGCACTGAAACCAGATTCTTTGTGCATTTGCAGCTCAGAGATGGTCTGAAGGTCAACATGGCGGCTGGGGGAATGACTGCAAAAGTCCCGGGGAGCCAATTTCGCGGTGATTCATACAGAGACCAAGCCTATGGGGCCAACATTGATGTGAAGATAGCTGGTGGGAAGGGAGAGTATGACCCATCCTTCATGTTTGGAGCTGGGGTCAGCAACCAGAAACGGGGAAGCGTCATAAAGACTGGTTACTCTGGCCAGGCCTCTGCAGAAGTCGCTGTCTCCCCTGAAACGATGCTGAATGGTTCCATCAACATGAATGCAAGTGGCACAGGCACGCTGTCCCTACGTGCAGCTTCCCATGATAAGCCTGTGTGGGGATGGGTCATGGTGGTACCGCTGGTAATGAAGCTGCTGAAGCGAGTGCTGGGTCATGAATCGGAATACGTGTGAATTGGTATGGCAGCGTGGGGTGGACGTCGTGGTTAGGTTCTTTCCCGTGTGGCTGCCATTTGCAGTGTGGCTGTCTCACATCCCCAGGGGTGTTCTCACAAGCAGCGCTTGGGGCAGGACACTGGATGCATGGTTCACGTCCCACTTGTGACGCGCTTGTCTCTAAAGTTTGGGCGGTTTGGCATTGATGCGAAATTCCTGCTTCTTTGTACTGGGGACAGGTTGGCTCTGCGAAGATGAGTGGAATGACATCTGTGGTGGAACAAAACGAACATGAAGCCATCCTTGACAGTGTCAGGAATCGGGTGCCGCTTTGGCCACAACCATCAGGACTGGTCAATGAGTGCACTTTGTCCGCGCAGTCAAAATGGTGTACCATCGTTTTGCACCTTGCGTGGGCAGCTTGCAAGTGCACAGGGGGATGCCATGTGGGCTGTGAATATTCACCACAATATTCACCAATGCTCTCCATTCTGGCAATGAACGTGTGAAGCGAGGGCACCAGTTTCCATTGCTGCCATTCACGTTCTTTCCACAGCTCGACAACTCTGCAGCACCCGAGAATGGTCTTCACCACAGATCCGTGGCTCTTCCCAGGCCCAAACTTCATGCACCTCAAACCGAGAGCCACCCTTGTGTGCCCAGCGACGATTTGGGCAGGTTTTGTCGTATCCACGGTTGTGCTGGACAGCACACACGCTTATAAAAGGTGCAGGCGTGAGCTAACCCCATTACATGCCAAGATATGCTGAATATTCCACAGCGAAGCCTCCCTACACATTCAGGACTTCTGGCGAATGGGGCCACTATTCGCGCCACTTCCAAAATCTCCTGCTGGATGGTTCATGTAGGCAACTCGTCATTGATCTTCACACAGAGCTAATTGACTAAACTCGTGTATGGGATTGTCCGCATATGCTGCTGCGTGAAAGATTCGTCAATGGACAGGGTCAGCCCTGCTCAAGTATGCATCGAGACGCAACGCATGAGCTTACAGAAACAGATGAAGATGAGGGAACACCGCACTTGGCTTGAATACCATGTAGTCGCAGCATACCATACTCGGCCTGTATATTGACGCCGGCAGGTGGTAAAAGGCGCCTGCGGCTGCGCCAACCATAAATTCATTTCTGCCTTTCTGGCTCGTCGATGAAGGGGTCGTAGAACCGGCGATGCACGGCGCCCAATCGCAGGTTTGCTTGCAGCGCTTTCCACAACCCGTTGAGGGAGGTCCCCTTCTGCAGGGGTCTCCATAGGCCAGTAACTTTTTCCGTCCCCGTCCGTCTCCGACCCAGGCATCGGACACGGATTTCCGTCGGACTTTACCTATTACTAAAATTGGTTAATCCCGTCCGCCTACGTCCGACCTGCACTTTTTTCTGGCGCTTCCGACCGACTCCGACTGGTCGGATTGTTTTTTCCTATCAAGTTTATGGAAGGAAATCTTGTGTGTCCGTCCATCCGTCCCGTCTGAAGGAGTTGTCGGAAATCCCGACCATTACTTTTCAAGTGAATTTGAATGTCATTCCAGGACTGCTGTCTTGTAGGACTCACGCACATGCACTGTACTTGACGGGTTTCATTTAAGTATGCACAAGCGAGACAGGGCAATTTCTGAATAGGCCGATGTGAGCGACGGGACATGAAGGTTGCAAAGTCGATGAAGTTATTTGGATGCAAGTTGCGTCATGCAGCCGCACGAGGCACGTTTTTGCTATATGAGGTAGTTCACAAAGGGCATACCCTCTATATACATTTACAAATGTTGGGCAAGAACGTCTCTGGGCATGCAAACAACCCTGGCGTCGTGGCCCTTGGCAGTGCTGAGTTGGCATGCCACCCGGCTGTACTGCACCCCTTGTGGGCCTTCTCAGCCTGAATGCGCACACCTTGGTACGTCGGCATGCCAGTTCTCTGCTACATGGTGTGGGCAAGGACTTTTGAACAGAGCACTTCTGGGTATGCAAACGCCCCTTGGGTGGACCAATTACCGCATATCACCTCTGCCTCCACCAGACGTATATTTCATGTAATGCGCATATGTCCATATGTTATGTTGATATGTTCATATGTTATGTTGATATGTTCATATGTTCGTATGTTGTGTTGATATGTTTATATATTATGTGTGAGTCACAGAGAGTTTTGACAATTTAGACACATCATGTGTCACACATGCATTGCGAACATCCCAAATTGGGATTCCTAATTCAGCAAGATTCCAAATCCAACAAGACAACTCAAGGAGAGAGCAGCAGGCCTACGCCGCCAGCCCATTACAACCCCCCATGATGCAGCAGCCCTGTGGAACAAAACTGGGGAAAATTCATTCATGTTCCACTGCCGACTCGGGTAGCCTCCATTTCCTCAGCCCCGTGTAGGTGCCCTTTGCCATTGGCCTATTGGGTTTCGCCTTCTTAGGTTTTGCCTTTTGCTTCAATTTCTTGTATATCAAACTATTGATTTTTGGGAGGTCCTTGCTGGGATGCCGGGAACCGGGAGAGGGCCAAGGGGTCCCATGCCAAGGTATGGCAATCGCCTCAATTGCACTTGTTTGTTTTGCCCTCTGGCCTTTGCCTCATCACAAGCGGAGTGCACCTTCTCAAGTGCACCACCCTGGGGGTTCCTCTCTATCGCCAGTTCATATGGGCCCCAAACAATCTGCACTAAATACCATGTTGGTGTTACGTATATCGGCCTGATGTGGGGGACGCCCTACTAATGGTCTCTTGTTGTTGGGGACGCCCTGCCCAAGATACCGTAACACCACCCCAACCGGACCTTATTTTATTATATGATATGATATGAGAGTAGGTCTGGGTGGTCCCGCCTAGGTCCTCGTAAGGACCTAGGTGCCCGGCGAGGCGGGTCCATGGCTTAAAAAGAGCAGGCGCCCCATACCACTAATTTCGTTGTATCATTTGGTCTCGGAGCCGCTTGGGGTTGGCTCGCCCACTTCGTCTGCACGCAAAGGCGAGGATAGCGCAAGAGGATTATGTCCCCGGCCTCCTTCATCAAGGCTGAGGAATCCGACAAAGCAGCCTGTGAGGGCCATACCATGTAAGCGGTCGAATCAGCACCCCAAGATGGGGCACCGGTGGTGGGCGCCGGTGAAGGGGAAGTAGCCCGAGAGGGCCAGGCCGCTGAAGAAGTAGTCCATGAGGACACAACAAGACCATCCACTAGCCAAGTGCAGGCTGAGGATTTGGTCCAGCCCATGGTGGAAGCAGGGGAGACGGTCTCCCCAGAGACCCCTATTGATGCATTGGCAAAGTTGGGAATGATGGCAGTATTTCCCCAAGCTCCTAGGCAGAGCTGGGCCTGGCCAAATGGCATAGGAATGGGAATGGGAACGGTGTCCGTCCCTATCCCAGGAACGGACCCGTCCCCGTTCCCATCCTAGTCCGTCCCAGTCCGTTCCAGTCCGTTCCTGGGCCGTTCCTCAATAACGGATTTGTGCCAGATCTGGGCCGGGCCGGAACGGAGTTGGAATGGGTCCGTTCCTGCCCAGGGATGGGTCCGTCCCGGCTTAGGAACAGGCCCGTTCCTGACATGGAACGGCCCCATCCTTGTCCGTTCAGGTCCGTTCCTGTCCATTCCCCAGGAACGGACCATGCGAATTGGAGGTCTTACGAGTTTGGGGGGGCATTGGCGGACCGGTGCAAGTTGCGGAGGCATTCATAAGGCCGGATTCAGGGCCAAGAGGCACATTTTCACAGAGACACCTGACTTGCAGCAAAGGCAACATGCACATTACCCAATGTACAAGCTGGACATATAGCCAAAATTAAAACAAGTCACACACTGAGCCATGGGCCAATTCGAGACAAGCCAATAGAACCCGGAAAATTATAACTTGTAATTTACAAGTCGGTGTTGCTGGACAAAAACGTCAGCTGCTCAATGCGTTCGTCCCCCAGAGATGCCCGCCGAGATCGCATAGTATGGCCGGATACCGAGAAGCCCCGTTCTGACGAACCACTTCCGACCGGCACACACAATGAGTGCCGGGCCACCCACGCCACTATGGGCCATCGAGCACTATTCCGTGCCCAATAATCTAGTGCATCCTCCTCTCGTGGGGTACCCGGCTCACAATGAAGTACTGCATCTCACCAAGCAGGCTAGGCCCCACGGCACTGCTTGCCCTTGGGCCCCGTTGCCATGTTGCATCATAATCCTCCTCGGAGCTAGTGTCAAACGTCTTATGCCCCATGCGCTTCTCCCTCGGCTTGCGCACGGGCCGCTGTCTAGGATAGGGTGGCAGGCCTGCTTGCCCCGATGCCTCTGACCACCCAATGTCATTCGCGAATTTAAGACACAACTCCAGTAGCTCAGCCGACATGTCCTCCATCACGGCATCCACCGACACGAACTTCTCCCTGATGGGTTCTAGTACCTTTATGTAGGACTCCAGGGTAGCCTTCCAGGCGTACACTGCACACACACCATGCAATTTATCAGCACTGCTTCTGACCTTTTATATGTGCTTTTGAATATGTGAACGACACCACAGTTGGCGCGTGGTTTTTCCGCGCGCGCCCCGTGCGATGGATCGACGATCCCTCCGGCGGATGGCCAGGCGTAATCGGCACGGTCGCTTGCTCGATCTCGACGCAGCGCGGACGTGGTGGGCCCCTTGGCGGAACGGCCTCTGCGGTGCGTCAGTCGGAAGGGCGGATTGGGTCCGGCGTTGCCTTGCGCGCGGTTCGCAGGCAGGCAGTGACAGCAAAACGGATGTTCGTTACAGGGTTCCCAGCGTCTTGTTCCCGTGGCATACAGCACGGTTACATAACCCTCATGTCACCCTGTACTTAAACCACCGTCCCCACAAGCACCCAGACCGTCCCCAAAGCCCTCTTTCTAATGCAGCGATATGGCCCGAAAATGGCCAAAGTCCCCAAATCGCCTCGCTGCGCTCGATGCTCACCCAAGGCGCGGATAATTGGTCCGCGCGCCTTTGCGTCGCATCTCACTCCGCTCGTATAAGAAACCAAAGA